CTGTTACTATCACTATTACTATTATGAGTATTGTCCGTCTGTAACTGAGTGGGGACTGTATCCAGGGGCTCGGGTTCACGGCTGCAGCTGCGTCGTGGGTTGCTTTGGGTCCAGGCCAAGCTCCGAAAGAACTTAGAAAAATGCATAGCAGCGGCGCGTCTATGGATGCATGAGGGAGTTTCTCAAAAAAAGTGATACCCTTGGGACCCCCGGGTTATGCAGTGACCAGAGGGGCAAGATATAGGGATTGCGTAGGTACCATTTTGAGAAAACCCATATAAGAGCAACTTCAACACCTCTGGAAGGGACCTCTGTGCTGCTGAACTCCCTTCGAGCTACGGGTAGTCATAACAGCTTCGGTTTCCTGAGCAGAGCAAATCGGTGCAAAATCTTTGGGGTCACATTGCCTCCACCTCCGGAACTGGAGGAGCACTCAAAACACCACAACCCCTAAACGTCTTGCTGAGACGAGTCACCCTACATCCATCCCCAAAGCTGCCTTTCTACTGACTCAAGCTTACATCTCACAATGCAGGATCCTGTAGAACTCCCGATAACCCTCCATGATCCTTGTATAATGCCATGTTGTCAGAAGCAAACCTTCCCTCGCGCCTGGCAAAAGCGCTTTGACACCTTGACGTCGTGGGGTTGCGGGTGACTAACAAGCTTAAGTAGCACGGTTGTGAGTTTTGGGTTAAGGAGTCAGGGTTTAAGGCATTGCGGAATGTCTTGTGGGGATTCGTACAGGGATCCCTGGGGGTTCTGAGCCCTAGGAAGATAAGTCCTGGCATAATTAAATGCACCAGGAATGACAAGCACCGCCGTCACCAACATGATCATCACCAGCAAAGAACCATACCCTAAACCCTAAACCNNTAAACCCTTAACCCTAAACCTGCCAGACACTTGGGGCTAGGGGGCTGCTTGCTCCCGAGGCACGGTCATGAACTTGCAAAGGCTGATCGCTCCAATTCGCCGGATCAGCGGATACGTGCGAAGATCCTGTCAGGTCATTTGTAAGACCCATTTTGGGCTGGGCTTGGGGCATCACAAGCAGCGCATGCTGCCATGACTACACCTTGCGGGGCTTTGAATGCGAGACTTTGTTCCTGATTTGGCCCGACCTTGTTGAGCAGGCACGCGAACAAAAGCGGCTTGACCTCAGCCAGGGTAAAGGTGTCAACAGATCTATAGTTAGGGGCCTCATTTTCGGGTACTTGGAAGGGATAGGCCCTGAGAAGCTTCCACGCCAGATGAGTCTACAGCGTTCGTGTTGAACCAATTCCTGGGAATGCCTATGGACTTTTCGATGTTCAGGTCGCCTTGCATTTCTCTCTAGATACATTAGCCCAATGGGAGGGGCTCATGGTTTGGCAAAGTCCTCGCATCCAAGTATCTAAAAGCCAACCTGGATCCTCCAAAATCTGCGTTCGGTAGGGTGATGTGCACTGCTTTTACAATAGGGGGTTGCAGTAGCAGGGGGCCCCAAAATAAACCCAACATTTTTTTGTCCGTCCACGAACCCCCCAAAAAGGGACCCCTGATATTCATGTATCCCCGAAATCATGGATTCTGGAGGGTAAGCCAAACCAGGGGGCGCGATCCAGCAGACGGTTGGTGCTGTACAGCAGTCCATTCTCTGCAAGTTGGGCAAAGGCCTGGCGGTGGTAGATCTTATGGTTGAAAGCCTCGAGGACAATCTACCGTACCTACAAGAAACATAGATCGTATGAGTAGTTAACTTGCTGAGGATGCTGGTAGCAGTCAGGCTCACACTACGGCTTCCTGACCCCAAAAAATATTTTGCCACCAGACCTTGAGAAAAGCGTAAATAGCATTTAGGCCTGGGGTTTAGGGCTTCAGGAATACGAGGGGTCTGACACGAATGCGCTTGCGATTTGATACCTACCATATACAGCTCGAATACAAAAGCCCCAACCCTTTGACTCCCAAACTCCTAACCTCTACAACCCTAAATCGATATAAACCCCACACCACTCCCTCTAAAATCTCAACCTCCGCATGGGCCACTCTAAACCCTACCCATCTAAACCCGAAATCCTTAAAGGATTCCTTTTAATTACCGGCCTCCGCCTCTCGCTCCTCCTGGCCCACGCCGCCCATGCTCGCCTGAAGGGCTATCAAAGGGTTGAGAAGCCCCCCCCTCAAAGGCGCCCAAAAATCATAGGTTCCCCTATTATCCCCCCACCTATACTACTAGGTTCCCCCTTTAATTAAAGTTAGTTAGGGATAATCAAGCCTAATTAAAGTTAATTAAGGGNNAGGGGGAACCTAGGGGGTGGGTAGTGTAGGGGGATAGTTTGGCAACCCAGGGCCCAACAGTCATGGTCTTGGGTTTGCATGAGCCCAATATCCGACTCTGACGTCCTGGGATTCTTAGGTATCCTATATGTACCCCTCAAGGATCCCTAGAACCCCCTAACAGGCCCAAGGGCCCAT